TAAAAAAAAGAATGTATTTCAAGTTCAATTCTTTTTTTAAATTTATTCATTTACATAAATCCTTAAATCTGGCCTTCAATTGTTTTCATGGAATCGAGGTGCACTGTCATCATTTCGTAAATAATTTACTTGTTTTCTAATTTATATTTTGCATTGCTTAACACTGAACATACCCAGATAAGATTGTTTTTTTTTAGGTAATTGCAATTGTTGAAAACTCTAATACATATAGGTAAGCATTTTAAGGAAATAGGCAACTCTTGAGAACTGGTTTTCTTAAAATTCTTTACTATTTTACTTTAAAAAAGTATGCTCGAAAATACTGACTGATGTTCAAATGCCGATTGTCATGTGACGTAGGTACATACGAGAAGTAAAAGCACCTACTTTAAACTGATTACTAAATAAACTTTAAATAATTGTTTTGGTTATTATACAAATTAAGCACGAGTCGAAATCTATTTTGATACGTATTTCAGAGCATCCGCCTCTGCATGTGGACTTACGATGTCAAGCTAATGAAAATGAACTCATGAATGCAGTTTAACGTTTAAGCCAGACTTTTGACGCTTAAACCCAGTTCAGAGTGAACCAAAGGTCTAAGGCTTCGTCCACACTATTAGAATATTGGGCAGTTTCCTGTATGTCTGATAAAACTTGGCTCCCTTTACCCTCACGTGGTTGTATGCACTTAGCATGTTGAATTAAATTAAAACCAGAAACCTAAGTGTTTAACAGCTTCTATAAGCATACTTAAGTCATTAAGTCAAGAATTTCATAGTTATTCTCTTCACAATATTTTCATGTCTATGTACGAATGATAGCGCAATGAGCTAAGTACCTAAGAATCTTATGTTAGCTGTAATAAGCGCTGATTCGTAACAAAAATGTAGTTATGCGCTTGGACTGCACTAAATGTAAAACATATCCATTTTTGTTACCTATTAAAAGGACTGCATGATATCAGAAGCATAACAATACAAGACTGCCATATTTTTTATTAAATGCTCATCTGCACATACATCGAATCCATCAGACAAAATAAAAGAGATAATTAAAAGTATGCCAAAAAACACAAATGTAACATGTACGCCCACGCGTATTCGATTTCGCAGGGTAGTTTCGACATGGAAATGCATTAGGTAAGGGGGCGTCCATAAATTACGTGAGACAATTTTGGCTATTTTTCAACCCCCCCGCCCCCCTTGGTGAGATTTGGTGAGATTTTGCCTGACCCCCTCCCCCACCCCCTAATCTCACGTGATATTTAAAAAAATCCGAAATTTAATAGTTTTGGAATAATTTAACTGAGAAAGTTTTTTTTTGTGTGCTTAGTGCGAGTTTGCATTTACCGTTGTCGCTAACGAGTGCATCAAAAAGATCTATAAAGTTTAAGATTTTAGTTCTTGAAAGTATCTGCTAGGGACGCTGTACAATCATCATACATTTAATGCATATCATTGTCACGATCGATATAAAGTCGCACTAAGCCCACTGATTACGAATAGATCCAGAAAAACACGTGTAGTGACAGCGGTTAGTACTAGGGTCTCATTGTTTTTTTTACAGAAGTACCTAGTCTAATTATTGTTCCTTTCTACATAATCTAGCAAAATCGATTTTGATTAAAAAAAAACTTGTTTTATAATTTTCTTAATTTCGTCATTTATTCTGCATTTTAGTATTCACACATGCAGACGGAAGCATTGTTAGTTTTATTTGTTTAGACGGTATAGAATAAAATGTCATTATCATCATAGAAAATATAATTTTTGAGGGTCCTGTAGTCCTGACAAGGAACCCTTATAGTTTCGATATGTCTGTCTGTCCGAGGTTTTGCTTGGAAACTATTGGCACTAGACAAAACGGTAGAATAAAATTTTGAAAAAATATTTTTTTAGGGTAGCTCCCCTACATGTAAAGTAGGGATGATTTTTTTTTATCTTATACACCATCGTGTAGGATATCGTTGGATGACTTGGGGGCTTTTTTTCGATTTAGGGATCCGTTTGCAAACTATTAAAGTTTAAAGTGCCAATTTTTGTTCGAGCAGGGCGTCCCCCCCTCTAAAAACTAGACGGTTGGCTTGAAAAATCTGGAAACATTTATAATAATACTGCTTTTTATGAACTTTCAAGAAAACTATAACGGTTAGGGTAGGTCAGTTGGTTTAAGAGTAATAGTCATTTAACTCATGTATTCAATTTCATATCTAATAAAAATTCCTTAGAAGAAAATATTAAAAGCGAATTTAGATGAAGTAATTGCTTGCTTCTGAAATACATTTTGTTAACGACGGACAACTACGGAACCCTACACTGCGAGTGGCACGACACGCACTTGGCCAATTTTTTTACTTAAGATTTAAACCCAGTTTTCTGGCAAACTCTATTTCTCTATTTCTTGCGGAAAAAATTACGTGATATTTCCTGAGACCCCCCCTCTCCCCCACGTGAGATTTAGTGAGGTTTTTGTTGACCCCCTCCCCCCCCTAAAAGTCTCACGTAATTTATGGACGCCCCCTAACTACCGCCTACCGCCTTCGGCAGTGCGTTCTGGACATCAGCGCCAGATGTGGTTGGGGGTTTTAATCCCACCGAGAGCAACTGCTAGTGTGATGAGCGCGAGTATTTTGCCTCGGAATCCTTGACGTTGAATAAGCTCTGCCTAGTGGGAATTATGACTTGTGAGATTTTGTTTGTTTAATGCTGTCAGTAATTCTCTTATGCCTGATTTGGAACGTCGAATACTAGATTTTCTGCCTTCTATTGAATATAGAATTAAATTGAACCCCTGAAAAAGTCAGTTGAACTATTATTTTTACTATGTAGGTATATTAAAATAAATACTAAGCTTGGGAGGAAATTAATTTGACAAATAGATAACTGTTTAAAGTAGGTACCTACTTAAATTATTACCTATTGAAACCAGTATGTTATGTTATAGCCGCAGTATAAAGCCCAGTTCCCAAGTCCATAAAAAGTAGTAATCTATTTCATTTTTCAGTGTGTGCATTGTGGTATTGATTCAAAGAACTGTATAGTCGGCGTTGAAGCAGAATGTGAGTTCACTTTCAAAAGCAAATACAAAAACGAATGTTAGTTTTTCACAAAAACATGGCAATGCAATTACTACAGCTTCCTTCCCCGAGGCAGTGTGCATCTTTGTTTAGTTTTTACTGAAAAAATCTTTTCGCACACACAAACAGACGCGGTATGAAAACAAATACATATGACGTACGCTTGTAAACGCAAAAATTCACTTCGGTAGTAGTCACCACAGCCCAAACTGATGAGATTGTTTTATATTTTTATAGAGCACTTATTCTGAATATAATAATGTACTCTTGTAAAGCATAATATCAATTTAGGTTACATGCAATATTACCTACAATATTCATTCATCAACCTGTTAAAACATGTTGACTTGATTTTGAAACATTGCCTCAGATTTAAACAGCAAAGTTTCATAACATCAAATACTCGTAAAATAACAGTTAAGGGAGCTGTGCGGTTAATCTATAGTTTCCGACGAATCATCCAGTAGGAAATCGCAAGGATTTCCCGACGGAAAAAAACACCGTGATGAAAATAAGTACCTTCCATATATGCCCAGAGGCACGAAAACGACCAAATGATACAAGTTCTCTTGCGAAGCCGCGGCCAATAAAAGAAACAATAAATAATACAAGAAATGCCAAATTACATAAAAATGCACTGGCTGTTAAACATTTCCAGCGACAGGTCGGCAACCGATACGGGGCTTTATCCGCTGCAAATAAAACTGTATAGACTCCATCGGAACGCCATACAATTATTTCGGGAATTTTCAGGAACATGCAGCTCGCCCCTCTGTTATTAGTGATTTGTGCCGTGGGCTCTTTGTGCGAACTTATCGAACCAACTACGCGACACAACCATACAGGTACCTAAGTCTGAATACGTCGCGTCAGTTTCAATAGGGTGTATTGAAACTCATATTTTATATATCAAGCACTCTTTGGTCTTAAACTGTTGTAATGAGGGTGAAATTACTTACTTTTTTGAGATAACTACCTACTGTTATTGTAATTTGTCGTTCGTTTTACATTCGTCCACTACGAGGAATCACTTGGCCTGCATTTCACCTGATGGAAAGTGATGATCAGGCCAAATACGGAAGCGAGCTTTACCCGGATTCTAATTAAAATTTACAGTATTCCTTGATTTTTCTAACGTTTTGAATAAAAACATAAAGAATATGCCACCGCAATAATGAATTTTTTGACTTACTTACTCTACCTACATTACAAAATAAAATTGGTTTAGAGATATTTTCAGGGGTATTGTGTTTGTTTACCGTTGTTTTCATGATTCGTTCACGAGGACCTATAATAAAAACCAAACGCAGAAAACCATTTTTATAAAACTTAATTAAAATGTTTTGTTTCAGATGACTGCGCAGACAAAGCTCCAATTATTGTGTTGCCAGTGATTATAAAACTGTTCAGATATCCTAAAATAGAGACTAACAATACACATATGACTGATCTTACATAATATAAATAAATTAAACCAATTGTTTGTAAGATTAACAAAAATACAGTCTTCTTTTTTTTCAAACGCCTGTAGTTTTAAACCACCCAATGAAAATGTTTCTACGTCACTGTATGAGACAGAAGAAAAAGTCTATGGTTAATTTTAAATATGTTTTAAGCATTTTAAGGCTACATAAAATATTAGATGTCTATATTATTGGTATGTAAAGATGACAGACGCCACACCAAACTTTAGTTCATGGGTAGAGAGAGATCATATTAGGTCTAAATCTACCTCATTTCATTTGTAGCAAACATATTGAGTGAAACGGATTAAACAATAGTCAAAAATAAACAATTCTTACACGTAACGTAGTAAGTAACTCCATTCAAAATGCATACCGATAAAACTGTACCTATTACACAACCGCCCAGGTGGTGCGCGTGGAGTACTTGGCACATACAAAGAAACATGAAAACGGCGCGAAGACCGAGTGCTAAGAAAGTGCGAAACGAGTTGACATTTTGCAAAATTCAAGAACATGACGCTGGTATGTCTTTGTTCTATCATTTTTTGTTCAGACCTATTTATAATTTGAAAATTAAATACTCGCTCGTTGCGGCTTCTACAAAGTTTTAACCGATTGCTATGATGTAACAAGTTGTCCAGTGAGATTAATATGCAACATTTTCTTTGGTAATCTGAAATCTATTTGAAGTGGAAATACAATCGTTTCATGAATAAAAAATATTCCAACCCGAAAACTTCGTACCAAGAGTAGCTTCGCACTATCGCACTACGTATCCGACCCGAATCTGCGAAATTTCAGAGTATCCGTAGAACTATTTGCATGGTAGTTTACCACCCAGTCAGAATATCATGTGTGTAGTAGAAGTGTGAGGTAGAAAATGTATTGAGCATACGAACTACAGGATGTAACCAAAAGTGCACCTAAGGGATAATAAACATCGGTAGTTAGGGTTAAATCTTTAACAAACTAACATACCTACAAGAGATTTTAATTTTTCGTATACACGAATCCTACTTTTGCCTATGAATTACGACTACTTATCATGATACCAAATTATCCAGCCGTAAAGGTACCAGACAATCCTAACTAACTAGCCACCCTTTGCCGGCAATGCAACGTTCATATCCTACTTCCTTAGTTACTCTTTCACACAAAAACTACTGAACGGATTTTGATAAAACCTTACAGAATTATTGTTTATAAATAATCTAGAATAACATAGGCTATAATTTATGACGATCTGTGACAAATTAAATTTCACGCGGGTGAAGCCGCTGCGCTGGCAAAAGGTAGGTAGTTTTAACATACAAAAATAATATCGAATGCAAACAAACACACGCTAATGAGGTAAAACCACAAACTGTCACCAACTGAAACAATTAGCGGTTACAAAACTGAAGTAAATGATAAATAATATTTACCGTTAAAATAGATATTGTTGCAATAAATCCCGTGAAGTGATAATTTTATAGTAAAAAAAAAATGCAACATAATAGTTTAAAATATTATGAAGTAAATGATATGGAAAAATATAATTAATTGTGGATGATCTACGAGTTCGCATTGTTATTGAAAGCGAGAATTATTCCATTTTGTCGTGTGACGACCATTTGAGCGGCAACAGAATATTAATGTTTATTTACATTTTAATTAATTAATGATTTCGTCGAGTATAAATTCCGCCGCCCACATATTGGCATGAAATTGCCGTCTGCATTAATTTGGGTGGCGTGCTGTTGACGCCAGGGAAATTATCCGGCTCCAGAATACACAGATCTTTAGGTTCCTAACGAGAGATCCTATCTATAACCACTAGACTACTTATGCAATACTTATTATTATACTATGGGTTAGACTAAAGTTGTAATAACATCTGGAACTAACTTTAATAATAACTTAAGAACAGACTACAATCGTGCCCCTTGACAACCCTTGATCATATCAATAGTATTGAGAATATCATTAATCTTCCGTCAATGACTTACTTATTTTTAATTTAATATCACTGGCTAATCCTGCAACTAAAGAAATACAGTGAAAAAATTTCTCAAGCTGAAGTCTATTTTTATTACAACCGAAATTGCATTAATTACCGCAATTTATTGAAACTTCCAACAAAATCTTCCCCATCTCTTCTTTGAGTATTTTCTTCTACTCATAGTATCTTATCGGCCAACCACGTGCAATAGAAAAATGAACCCTTTGTAGTACTATTTTTTTTAATTAATATCTTTTTCAGCTGAAAATTATGCTGCTGCAGGTGATTCTAGTTGGGCTCTTTATACGGACTAAGCAATCAATCACAGGAGTCACGTACATGGACCACTTCGACTTCGAGGAAAGATACAGGAACGTGTATGAATGCGACCCTCTCCATTGGTACCCACTACATCTGCCTCCCGAGTGCACCAAAATGTATGAGGAACTAATTCGAAAGGGAGTAGCTTCTATGACAAATACACCAGTTAAAATATTGAAAGAGAGAGAAAGTGCTTTCTACAATCTGAATCCCTATGCTCTCTCTTCATCCGTCCCTTTGTATGAACCTCCAGATTCCCAAGAATCCGAAGAAGTGTACAAGTATGACATTCCACGATTGCCACCGTACGTGAAAATGTTTGACATGCTCAGGAAAGATGTCAGAAGAGAGCCGAAAGCACCTGTAGTAACTAATTTACCTGGATTGGGTGCAGTGGCTTTGTATCGTCAACCAATATCAAGAAAGAGTGGTCAATATATTAAAAAAATTGCTGGAGTTTATAGAGATGCATATATGAAACATTATCCATATTATAATAACACAACGAACAACGATACAGAAACTACAACTGAACAACATGAAACATCGGAAGTTGATGAAAATGAACCTCCCGTTCACAAACATAAGCTTAATATAAAAAAGAAAATAAAAAATGGGAATTCATTCGCCATTCTTAGAACATACCAAAATTAATTTATACAAACAATTATATCGAAGTTATGACTTCAATACGAGTAATAAATAATCTCAATTTTTTATTGTGTGATACTAGTGATGTGTAATAGCATAGGATAATAAAATAGGTATTTAAACTACGCTTTTTTGTTTTGATCATGTTTTCCATGGTAAAAAACATGGAACTCTGTGTCCTTTTTCCATCTTTTCAGCTTTGTTTCAGTCAATAAAAATCAGCCTATTGTTGTAAACACAATAGGAAATGCTTTCATTGTTTCACCAAGCGAGCCCCCATCATATTGTTTCAAAATCATCGAATGAAATGACACTAGTGAGTTCACTATCAAGACTGTGAAAATATGTGAATTTCATAAAATGACGGCTGCTACTCTTTTAAAGGTTGGTATAAAAACCGTACGATTTTTAAATGCCCTTTGGCACTTTTTAAATACGTGTAAGATACAAATACCTACTCGTTAAAGATGCCTTTTTATTTTGCAGGTAATATTTATAGTAGCTTTAGCTACAAATTCGTTATGTAACATTGGTGGACTCACTTACATGGACCCAATGAACTACGAGCCGCTTCCAACGCCCCGTGGGGAAGACCCTTGTAACCCACTTTACTGGTATCCAAAGGAAATTCCGGAATATTGTTACATTAAAATGGAAACACCTCAACCTCCAGTCGCTATACCACAACCCGTACCAGTACCAATACCAGTACCAGCGCCGGCTGTTGTTGTACCAGCACCTCTTCCTCTGATGCCTCCGTCAAGGAGGATGGAACCAGCAGAGCTTCCAGCGCCGGTACCTCTAGGGTCACCACCTCCAGGGCCACCACCTAAAGGGAAACCACCGATATCTGTACTACCTCCACCGCCATTACCCTATGGAGTGCCGATCGCTCCAACCAATCCCATGTTGCCTGTAGCTGGCATACCTTATTCTCAAGTGCCACCACCATATCCTTACCCACAATTCCCACCAGGTCCTTATCCGGATCCTTACGCATTGCAGCGCCCCGGATTGGGAATGGTCCCGGGTATACCCGGAATTGTCTCCCGCGATGGAGGTATCAACGTTCTACCCTTTTCTGATGCTTACTCGGATATTCTTGAAAAGCGAAAGAACAAATTGCTAAGAAGACGGCTAAAGAAGGTCTTAGAAGACTACGAAGACTACCCGAGGTGGAGACGCAGAAGGCGTAGGAGGCATAGAAGTAGGATGTTTGAATAGCTAACTGGTTAAGTATTAAAAACCTTGGTTATTCAATGCCAAAATTTATTTAAATATATTTTACAGTAATAATAACAGTTAGGTACGTACTCTAGTTTAATAATACGAAAATGTTATTATATATTTGTCTACTCGAAGACATTACTAAAATCTAATTCTTACATTAATGGACGGACTTTCTGAGGGTCTCATTTATATACATATAATTCTTAGACTAAAAGTAATCTAGGTGTATAAATTGTAAAACTGTGCCTATCTCGTAATACACTTAACTATATTAATATCTAGTTCATTAAGATTTTATTAAAACCATACAATTGATTGCAAAGTGTACACTAAATTTTAATTTACTAGCTACAATTTGTTAAGTACATGTTTGCCACTAGAGAGTGTTATTTATAAATCCCAACTCTATTTTATAATAATATTATAAAAGTTATAATATCATAATAAACTCATTCTTAATTATCCCTATTAGATCGCATTAGATGATTTAAAACACCGGATTCAGTCTCAATTGCGCGTATCAATGATATCATATCGGTCGTTCAATGCCCGAGAAATAAAATCACAAATAAATATTACCTAATACCTGAACAATTATTATGAACCAAATTAATTTCATATTGGATTTCTGGGAATCAAATTAATAATCAGGGCCAACCTTTGAGTTGGGAGAGCCAAAAGGACATTAGGTACAGTTTTTCATTTGGTTATTACTCTGGTTTGATTGAAATTGCCATTGTACTGATGACTAGTTGACCAGGATATTGCAATGTATAGTCGCGGAATGAAAAGGTTCGTCACCTTAGTGTCGGTTTTCGCTTGCACTAGGTACTGTAAGAGTCAAACCTGCCAACATAACCGTGCAAGAAACAGTGTGCCTACCATGAGTTTACGTTAGGTGTGCTCGCTAGCGACTGCGTAAAAAAATGACATTTAAATGTATGACATATTGTGCAGCGCCCCTAGCGGCTACTTTCAAGAAATAAAATCTTCATAGAATTGTTTGACGTATTCGCTAGCGAGCTCACCTAACGTAAACTCATGGTAGGCACACAGTGCTGCTAATATTTAAATAAATATGACGTTTGCTAACGAATAAGGTTTTGCTTGTTTATTTTTCTATCCCATCAGTGCAATGTTACAAAATGTAGTTTTTTTTATTTAATAGATAATGGCAGGTTGAACCAACAAGAAGGTTTTAGTTTATCAATCATAACAATCTTCTTGACAAGTTAAATCGTCAAACAACTTTGATCTGAATAATTTTGAACTTTACTGGCGAACAGTTAAAGATTATTTTCTCTAACTCGAGATTATTCTGTAACATAGTTTCAAAAGGTAATATGTGCTCGCGATTCGTTGAAGGAATCAATTTGAAAACTGACGAACCTTTTCATTCCGCGACTGTACCTACAATTTAATGTTTGACACTTATTGGTGACTAGTCCCTTATAGGCCTAGCGCTTATCTCAGTGCCTGAGGTATGGGAGCGGCACGGGAGGTTTATCTGACAGATAATATGACTTTGTCAGCAAAGTCACAGAATAAGTAATAGTACAGGTACAGAAGGATTACTCCGCAAGACGATTTAAATAAATGCGAGTCTTGCTACGACGCGATACAGTGGAATTCAGCTCGCACAGCACTACGTACCTACAATTTTATTCACCTACAAGTTTTGTCTCTTTCTATCGCGTGCCTCTGAACTCTTCTTACGCTGTTAGGGTTGCTGTCTAGTGAAAAAATAATTAATCTAGGTAATTATTTGTAATGAGGTACGTATGTAGGTAAGTATGCATTCATTATGGAAAACCTTGGGAAAACCTTGGGAAAACCTTGGCCTTTGTCCAGCAGTGGACGTCATTTGGCTGAAACGAACGAACGAATTCTGAGCAGTAGTCATGGTAGGTTAGGTTCCTATACTATCCTAAGAATTATTGATTACCTACATGGCGAACATACCTTTCAGCATCTTTGGGAAGCGAAAAAAAAAGATAAATCCGGTAGATTTCTTTTCGAATTTTAACACCCGAACGCCGCACAATATTTATTTCTTTTTATGTCCATTTTTAAATAATACTTCGATCATAGAATTATAATCATACTACAACGCACGCCAGCGTCCTGAGGGGCGCGCGCGTGACACTCGACTGATATAATACCCGCCGGCGGGGCGCTTCGCTGTAGGTAAATATCGGATGTAAGTACCGCGCGGAGTGAGACAGGCCTGGCAAAGTGAAACTTTTGTGACTGCTAATTTAGTTTTTAACCTATGTCTTCAGTTTTATGGCTCCAAAACTTAAATGTTATAAATACAGACAATAAAAGAATCCAGTTGTAAATCCTCAAAAAGCTGGATCTTTAGCAACAGTATTTTTCAGAGCACTGTTTAACGAAACAGTTGCCAGAACATCGGCTAGTCGCAAGCACAACAATATTTGCTGAGCAAGCGTAGTTCGAGCACCAGACGTTTAGTACACATTTGAGCCGAATCCTAAACCGAATCTGAAGTATTATTCTGCTATACGTGTTCTGTGTTTTCCGCTCTATACGCCTCTCGTTTTCTCCCTTGCAAAATAAGCGAGACAAATAGAAGAGGATGTGGATTCAGCTTTTCAGAGTGGACCCCTTGTGGTCAACACAGCTCATGCGGCTGGACACGTAGGTACTCTCGCACATTGTGACTCCGATATCGCATCATGCTTGACAGTGTACACTACACGTAGCGTCGATTTACTTTAAATTTCTGGTGGATTTTCGCTGCTTTTTAGCCGACTTCAAAAAGAAGGTGGTTATCAATTCGATTGTATGTTTTTTTATTTATTCATGTTTGAAACCATCCATTCTCGCGATCAATTAAACAGATTGCAAATACGAGTATATTATAATAACAAAATTAAATACTATAATAATAAAAACTAAAACAGCTGGTATGTGCGTGGCGTGGCGTTTGCATACAAAGTCAAGTCGCTATAAATTTTGTAAGCAGGCAGGCTTTTTTGATTTCTCACATTTCAGTAGCCTTGGCATTATCAAATCAATCAGTGCTTTTCTTTAACAAAAATTTCAAAAGATACCTAAGATATAGACGTTAGATATCTCATGACGTCTTTGGCCATGTTAGAACGACACGCAGAGTCCCATACAAGTAACTATAGGCGGATGACATTTGACGTCACGCTCAGCTTTTTGTTTCCAGTCCTATTTAAATGCTAGCTTTTCATAAGTTTATTTAGGTAACGTAGAATTTTGTCCAATGACCCCAAGCTACCCATCCTTATCGCTCGCGCGCGTAATTATATTGCTGTCGCGACTGTGCGACGGGCGCCCGCAGTGAGTGTGCGAGCGCGACAGCAACATAATTACGCGCGAGCGATAAGGATGGGTAGCTTGGGGTCATTGGACAAAATTCTACGTGCTCACAGACCAGACTATATACCTACATAATTAACTTTTAAAATCGATGCATATTTCCCTATTGCGTCATTATCGTGCCCAGAAAGTAAAGTACACCTTTTCCCATAGCTACGATGTTGCATGAAGCATGTAAGTACAAGGCTTGGTTTTCCGACAATAGCTGGCAATTTTACAAACAAAGCCGTATGAAAACAAGGTCTATAGATTATCTAGTAATCTAGTCAACCTATCTTTTAATGGTAGGTGAAACAATGTTGATTATTTCTGTTTGAGTTGATATTATCAAACTATATTTAAAAAACTGCCAGACACCGTGGACTATTACGTGTATGCATCGTCGTATATAAACTAATTATGAATCGATCACGCCTCCTGCACGTTGTAGCAATGTGAATGTATTTGCTATGTTGTTACACTTCGAGTGACGTCATGCCACGCCACGCTCAATCCCCCTGTCTGTCAGAGGCTTAACGTTACCTCGAATTACCTTACCTAATGGAATGTTTCGTATGGACGTATGAAGTTACACTAATAATACTCAAAAATACGACGTAACACATAAGCCCGTATTCACAAACATTACTATGCTCTATTCAACGCTGTGCGTTCGATTTGCTGCTTCACTTAGGCAAGCATCGTTTGTGAATACGGACGTTATAATATCTTTCCTTTTAGATATTAAAGTTACCTAATATGTCTATTACAATCGAGTAATCTCTAATTTATTAGTTAATGTGATGTGTTTTATAATGAAGTTTTTAAGATCTCCTGATTAAAGAATTTAAGATAAAATTATCTAATTTATAAATCCGCACTCAATCTTTACTTCCTCTGCGATCGCAATGTAGTATCCATTAGCCTAAATAGTTATCAATATCATAGCAACACAACATCAGTAAAAGAAAAAAAAATAATAGAAAATGTTTAGGCATACCTACCTACTGATCTATCCCACTTTGATCACCTGGATTTGATTACCTAGGTAATCTTAGTGTGTCACCTGGAGTCCACTTTGATCACCTGGGTGATCAAATCCAGGTGATCAAAGCGGATACCTACCTACTACATAATGAAAGCAACACAGCATACTAATCCCTTCAAATTGCAATATTAAATTATAGCAATAATACAGCAACACTAAGTAATTTGTAAGTTTGGTACAATTTTATTTTAATTTTAAGTTTCATTTGTATTGTGTTGTGCCAAATAAACGTTTTTTTTTTTTTTTTTTAATTACAGGGAAAACATTTGTATTTCGGTTTATTATTGTGAGTTGCGATGTTTGTAAGCCGATTTGAGAGATTAATTAGAGCGATTCCATCAAAATCCGGCACATTGCAATTGAAAATTATTACATCATTTACGATTTGATCCACTTCAAAAGGATATATTTGAAGATTCCTGGTATTGGGAAAGGTAAAATCGAACGTTGCTAAGGGCCGATTTTTCAAAATAAGTTTGGCTCATTGACAGTTTCAGTATGGGAGATATGTCAAAATAACAAGTTTATTCTCAGATAAAATAATATCTGACGATTGAAATTCAGCCTTTAGGGCTTTATAAAATGAATGTGCTCTTTAATACTCTTTATAAAATGTTTACCAAAAAATTTTGCGCACTTTTTTTTTCTTTGGAAAACGTTTACTTAACGTTAAAAAACTTTTCAGTTATGTAAGTTCTCAAATGGAATTTCTACGTAGGCCGAAAGTTTTGCTAATAATGCGTACTTCGTAGATAGATTTAATAACATTAAATATTTTAGAACATGCCAATTTTGTTTGACATTTATTTATTTTTGAGAGCTTCTTTTCCACTAATGGATTTTAATGCCAAATGCCTGTCAGTAAGATAAATACGCTTTCAATAAGATTTAGATGTAGTAAACATAGTAAGTAGTTACTTAAATTTGGTAGCTGTATCGAGCGAGAAATTTATAGAAGTCAATACATCTTTGTCATAACTTCTACCTTCAAGAAATACGCCAACACTTGACTGAAATATAAACCAGTTAAGCTCATGTCTGACAATATTTATACAGATAATAAAAGTCTAGAAAGTGTTATCGCGTAGGTAGGTTTTTACTGGAAAAAGTAAAAATACTAAGTGTCAGTCCTGGAATACACGATCAATAAATTATTTTTTCAGAATAGTTGCCTGAAAGTGTATGAAACGTATGAAGGAGAAAACTACTCAGCAAGGTAAGTTTAGTAAAGTGATCTACTTTCACACATCACATCACAATAATATTATAAAGGCGAAAGTTTGTGAGTGTGCATGTTTGTTACTTCTTCACGTCTAAACGGCTGGAGTAATTTTCATATTTGGCACGGAGTTAGCTGACACCCTAGATTAGCACATGGGCTACGTTTTACCGCGGGTAACACCGCGGGGCACAGCTAGTAGATCATGATTGCCTAGACGGTTAGGAATCAATTTCTATAAAAGCTAAGTTATATAATACATAAATTGTGTTTTTCATGTCTAACAATGAAAATTACAAAAGCAATATCGCTGATACTCTGAAAGCACTTTCAGTATTTCTAGCATTTTCTTCAGTCTCTTGAGACGTCATACCGACAAGTAATTTCCAATGAACTTTGTTGGGAGCAATATCAATACATAATATCGTAGACGCAGAACGCAATGAGTGTTTACATTATTTGATTTATTTTCTTGGTATTGCAAATAAAATTGTACGTTATTGCTTTAGAATGAAAATCGTTCGCAATAAAATTCACTCTAAGGATTTCATCATGTATTGCGTGGTATTGAAATACTGATTTTATTTATATACCTTGTAGAATATTACATACGCCTGCTTATTAAAAAATTCCAGTTAAACCCCCCAATAACCTATCCCTAGTTAAGACACCTTACATTATAGATTCATAAGTACAAATATAAATACATAACTTTATTAACTGAATTAACTCTCTTCGAGATTCAAACCCGCAACATATTTGTGATCTTTGTATTCTATTAATTATCATTATTACGGAATTTGGCAACAAAACACTTTTATAAAGGTACAGATATTACCCTCCCATAGTTTGTAAGTATGTAATCTATTAACTCGATGCGTACTTGGTTCTATCTCAAGCTTTTTTAATTACTTAGTTGCATTTAATTGTAGCTTTTTATGACTTTGAATCAGACTAAACTTAAGTTGTGTTTAGTGTCTCTACTAATGTATTTGACAGTTTCAAAAATTTTAAAGTACATTGTTCTGAATCTGAACTGCCAAGGGATCTTCCATCCAGTCATGCTATGATGTCACTTTTTCGCCAACTACGCTATGATTGTTTTAATTTGTACTTAAGTACTTTTTCCACCCCAACACCGGAATCATTAAATGTGTGTTTTATTACATAATTATTGGATTGTATTAACAAAAACTACGCAATAAAACTAGCAATGATAATTATTTGAGGTAGTAAATTGTATAGATTTGCGCAAAACAGCGGGATGCCCTATTTGATGTAAATTAGACAGAAAATTATAATAATTATAGTTAACACATTGATCATTACTACACTTGCCATGTCTATCGGTCATGGGGTGGGATTTTCATAAAACATTTTCTGGTAGCCATGGAAAAGCTTAGCATGGTAGGGGACAGTACATTAAGCAATAACAAGAATATTTTCCTGTTCATTAATTACTTTTCCTGTGGACAATACTTATCGCAACTATACATATATTTCGTGTACCTGTTCTGCCATGCTAATCCATGAAGTTTTTAACAGAAGAGACACTTTTCGATGTTTAGAGCAAAATTCCTGTTGCTGCAGCTACGTACAGTGCAGTAACAGGATAAATTCCTCAAATTCCCGTGTGCTCACCCGAGCGTAGTTTCAGAAATTAAGCCTAAAGTGCTAACAGCGTAACAGCTAACTCTTTGCCTCGTGTAACAAGCTCATGTCATGATTCAGTTAACGCGACACCAAACTTCAAATATCGCCCCTAGCAGTTTTAAAAATCTACACGTGCAAATTGTAAATCGCTTGCATATTTAATTTTCACAGTAGAATTTTACCTTAAGTTGTAACTTCGGGGATCCGCGTATCCTTGAATCGCATTTAAACAAATTCGCACATAAATTCCTAGAAACGCCTATTTTTGAAAAATTGTTCCGTGCAACCTGTGGTGAAACGTTGCGTATTTTGAATTTGGAAGAAATCATGATATTGACAAATGAAGGATATATCAGAAAAGCATCTGACATCAATAACTCTAAGCACAATCCAGTTCATGGAATATTTTAACCAAAAACCCGGTAAAAGCGACTTATTCTATTGACTTCCTGATTTCAATCATAAAATTCCCCATACGACTTGTTTGCAAGCTCTTAGTCAAGATGAAATTCGAACGGTTCAAAAATACTTTTTCTGATCGGAATTAGGTACCTACAGCAAAAAAGTTCGCAACACGTCTTTGTTACAATTGGAATAATTTTGTTAATACCAATTTGATAACATAAACTGTGCACACTGATATTGGTAACAATTTAGGCAGAACATACAACAAACAGTAGAATAACATGGAACTATTCAATTTGAGCACCTTCACCGTTAACAAGTAAAGCATGAGTGGGATTTATACTCGTACAATATAAGACTTTTAGCTACCATCATCAACATAACATATTAAACTCTTACACAATTTTAATATCAATAAAGTTAATAATATAACCTAACGAATTTATACATTTTGCGTTGTTAACACATAAGCTTTCTTATACAGTGTGTTAGTCGACTGTGTTTATCTGTATTTTGATACTTTTGTGCATTCAAATATTTTGTTAAAACCGACATGACATTAGGCACTGTTAGCAGAGTAAATACAAATGAGTAGGACATCTTCATTGAAACGCCCGAGCGAGGTTTGTATGTGAGCGCGCCAATATGTATGCGGCGCGCACGCACACACTGACAAAATTTAGCGTGGATTAGCGGTGAGGTGCCTGACCTACTCATTTGTATTTACTCTGCTGTTAGTTTGTTACACTGTATGAGATATAACAAACACAAACAATTTAAAACAATCACAATACCCAATTCCACTACACTAAAGAAAACTACCTCAGCTATGCTGAAAACGTTTATTATAACCCGAGTCGAACTCGATTCGAAAACTAAGACTTATCATTAACATAATCACTCAATATTATTCCTAGTTTCTGCCAGATCACCAGTAAGTACAATACAACTTACTAATCTAAACATTTATATGAAAAATCCATTAAACAGCGCTATATTTGATGAACAAGTAGGTATAAAGTTACAACGTGAGGTTATAGAAATAATAATAAATTACTAATAATACAAATTATGTTATGAAATAATTGTAAAACAATGATTCTTGTTCTCTGGCAAAAACTTTTATAAGATAACATTATGTTTTAATCCAATTTTATAACTATCTTAGCCAATGTTATTGCTGTATGAATACACGCAAAGCATCCATTGTAGATGCGGATATAGTACGTTTAAGATATAACTAAATATACAAAAAACAATTAAATACTACGACAATATCGTGCTACTGCTTTCCGTTTGAAACAATCTCAACTTTGTGTTATTTAATTTTTTCAAATCATAATCTTAAGAATCAGTCAATACAAACCCAAATCCTGCAGGATTATTCATCACAATATGTTGATCTACATTCAAGATCGGGTTCGTATCAAACTAAAATTCAATTTTGTGCTTATTCGAGTGTTTTTGGAAAGGCTATTTGACTACATCGATGATTTCATTTATTTAAAAGCTGATGATGTCAGTGAAGTTCTAACAGTGCGTAAGTGATTTTTTGACTGATTTAACAATTTGATGCCATTAGATGAAGAAAGACCGCGTGCTTTTTTCCGACCAATCTCCTGTAAAATGCACATTTTTGACTTACGCCCTGTAAGAACTTTACTGACGAAATGCAAGTTAGTCTGTCATCGACTGTACCACGCTATATCTATATATATAAAAGAAAGTCGTGTTAGTTACTTCACTTATAACTCAAGAACGGCTGAACCGATTTAGCTGAAAATTGTCAGGGAGGTAGTTTAGAGCCAGGAGAAGGACATAGGATACTTTTTATCCCGTTCGAAATTAAAAAAAAAGTCTGCTTATTTATTGCCATTAAGGCGGAACAAAGTTCGCCGGGTCAGCTAGTTGTTTATAAAGCGGTTTTAGACAAAGACAAGAAGTTCTCGATGATGAAATTTAATGATCTAGGACGGGGGGTTTGAGAAACTAGTCAAATAGCCTATTCAGACATTTTCAGTATTATAAATCTATCTTAACCAAACAGATCAAAGTAAATTGAAACAATAAATAACGTACATCTATGATTATGACAATATTGTGATGCTACTGTGATAGTATAAGACATAATATGATATGTATTTCAACCCTACAATATTAAATTAATGATAAAAAAACTGAGACGAAAGACGTTTGAGCTTGGAAAAATACTAGCTAATTTAAAGAATGTGATGATGGGTATTTCGTGTGACGTTATTATATTTAATACTAACTACACTTACATGTAAAAATGGGAATGTATGTATAGTACATAGGTATATAAAAATTGTTTATAAATGAAAAGTATGACAGTAAGTACATCTGTTACTCCTAAGTAGATAGTTTACTCTATTCTGCTGTAAATGACTATGTTTTATGATATTTTGATCAGTTAATACACATTACGATACATGATCATGTTAATGAATATATTCTACATTGAAGGTAAGTAACATAACAAAATATCTAAGTACCTTGTAATACTTTTTCAAAAGTTCAATTTGAAAAATACAGGTTTCTCAAGAAACAAAGCAGTCCCTGAATCATAATTAGATGCTGATTTAAAACAACTTTTACTTTGGGAACACCAAAATTACGTAAATAAATTCAAGCTTTTAAAACAAATTGGAAAGTTTGCATTTCGATCTATGATGATGTAAATAAGCATTTGCGCACAATAAATTACAACACTGTTTATAAAAGTTGCTCTGAAAGTATCAGGATGATGTAGAGTCATGTACAACTAGGTCTTCTTGTACACCCTGTGTAAATACCTCAAAAACTTTGACATGTAAAAAACAATCAAGAAATTTTCACGATTATTATAATTTCATTACACGTGGTTTGGCTTTGATGACATTATTTTCTTTCAAATATAATTCATAACAAGTAAATCAAATATCGTAAGTAGCTACTTAAGTCTTTTCGGTCGAACAAACTCGTGATCGCTTCGTGTAATTATTATTCGAAGTGTCTAATCATTTCGAAGGAAAAACGTTATTGATGCTAAGTATTGCCGCTATAGTCAAGGACTTCGATATACTTAACTGTCTTCCCTCCGAAAAACACCTGCCCTCAGAACCTGTGACTAGAAAGACCGCCGATCTGTTCTGGTGGAGTTTCGTTCATGCCCATGTTGTCATAGGAAAAGTCCAGGGTGGTATCCTCAGCCGGGTGCCGGTTGCTCAGAGCTGTGCTGACGGTCTTGGGCGTGGTGGCTCCCTGGCTCTTATCAGCTTGGGAATTTCTCGTCTCCAAATCTCTGACGTTCAGAGGCTGGTTCCGCTTCGGTGGTTCAGGATTTCTGATCTCCAACTTGAGCTCGGGCTTTGCTTTCGGCATTTCGGCGTGCGGGTTGTGATGTGTGAGGTCTGCTGGGTAGTTCTTTACACGGTTCTGAAATGTGTGATTAATTTAAGTGGAAGAAATAAACTTGACTAGGTTTACCCCAATTTACTGGAGTTATCAGTAACGACGGATTGCATTGGTTGGTTGCAGCTAAGAAATCACAAATGGGTAGGTAAATGAGTTTTGAATTATTTTAGAAATTATAAAGTTCTGCTTGACTATCTCATTAGTCCAGAAGATTGTTTTTGGCTCTTCATTTGGCGGCTATTGGCAATGTAACAGATTTCTAATAAGAGTTTAAGCCTTCATTCTTTATTATTTTTCGGTTTTTCATTTAATACTACAGTTATTACCTTAAGAAAAAGCTTCTGGGTGGAGAAATTGATCCAAAATATGCACAACCCTTGAAAACAGTCTTAATGGTTGACCAGATGACATTTTATGATAGTCTCATGAAGATTTGTACCTTCGACGGCTGCAGCTTCTGCTTGAGGTATCTCCAGGACAGCCGGCCCCTGCAGACGATGATAAGCACCAGCACCAGCACCGCCAGCGCCACTCCGCTGAGGATCAGCGCCGTCTGCGCCTGCCGCTGGACACCTTCGGGCACAATTGTGGGATATTGCAACGATTCACAAATATGACACTGATGACGTAAGTATATGATATTGCAACGATACAAGTTCATCGCCATCAACCCAAAGAAGAAAAAGAACGTGTGATATGGGTGACGTCATAAAAGTATGACTCTATTTTAACCTAATGCCGTCCACTGCTAGACACAGTCCTCCCCCAAAGATTTCCACAAAGATTGGCTCTGCACTGCCCACATCCACGTGCTTCCCGTGACCTTCACAAGACATTATTGATGTTTTTAAAGAATGATACTTCAGCAGAACTCCCCATCACGGTGGGTAAAGGCTGAATCCTCTATCTACCTCTAGTGAATTAGAGAGTACTCTGTACTATTAGTAGAAACTAAATGACCTTGATGATTATGATTCTTCGACATGATTTATCTTTTTATTGACTGACATTATAAGGGCATACGTCTCAGCAGTACTTTTCTTTAGAAATAGTTTTGTATTTTTGTTGTAATAATTCAGAATTTAAAAGTTTTCTGTGAAAAACATCTTTATTGGTACAAAAAAATACATTTCGCACGAAGTGCTCCATCACAATAATAAATTTAATAAAGAATGCAAACAATTTCGCTAGGCTCAAATAAAATGTAGATTAGGTATAATTTTTATTTATTTTTTGCAAACATTTTTAAGCTTCGCTATAATTATTAGATAAGGTGCTTAACCTAAATCGTACCTAATGCCAAAACGTTGTCACACAATTAAATATTAACTGGCGCTCGTCAGCAGCATTAGATGTAACGTGTCCATTTACGAGGCTATAGCTGAATTTTCAAGCCATTCATTATGTATGATATTTGATCTACAGAAATCATTGAACAATCTTTAAAGCAGTCATTGTTTCAGGCCTCCCCCAATGACTTCGCACGGTTGGTACCGGCCTGCATCCAGCGCCTTCCTGCTACCTTTATCAGGTTATCGGTCCACCTTGTGGGTGATTATTGTTTAACTGTTAAATAAACAAGTTTGATTTTAATCCTAGGTCTACCGCTTAACTCAATCAGTGACTGCGGTATGGAAACGGCACGGGAAGGTGTTAACATCAAACGTCAGCGAGACTGCAGATCTCCTTCAGAATTATAGTATGTTCTGTCACGTCAAAAGTCATACTCCTCCTGTCCCGCTCACATACCTCAGGCACTGACTAAATCAAACGTATAAATAAGTTATTGAACCTTTTGCCAATTCTTAAAAAATCATTAAGTACTGGTACTAGCTGATCATGTTTTCGAAGTAGGATCTGTTAGCTTGGAAGAGATGCCATATTGCGGAAGTATGCTGGCCTCGTCTTCCAGAAAAAATACATAATAATAGAAATCATCGTTTTCTAACTTGACCCTAACAGGTATCGAACCTGAGTCCAGTCGCGTTCAAGGCAGCATATTTGCAAGTTTCTCTTTCTCTCAATTCAACTTTCTTTTTCCAGGAACGGCAGCACAGCAGACTATATAGCAATATGTTTCGTCATACGTAAATTGGAAGTTTTGTGCATTTGATAATCGCATTAACTACTTTTGAAGGGCAGAAATTAAGTTTTAAATGAGGCTAAATTAGAGATTTCTTTCGCCAGTGCTTTAGCTAGTGCAAGTGCGTCTGTGCGTGTAACATAAAATAACATGTACATAGCATGGAAAGGCATGAAACATTCGCATAAGCAAACAAATTCTAATAAAAAACAAACAAAAATAAACATTTGAGGAACAAAACTTCCTTTGTGGAAGAATTTCGTCATAGTGATGGATTCAAAGAGAATTTTGTAAAAATCATGATGTTAAGTAAAAGTCAAACTAAATACTCTTACAAAGTGCAAGACAAAGAAACAAAAATAAAAAAAAGAATAAAAAAGGAGGCGTTTATGATACTTACTGCTATAATCCGATACAGGCGCGACATCTTCCCTCCGCTGGTATCTCAAGTCTAGAAGATATCCTGGAAAGACAAAAAATGTTCTTAACGGAAAAAATATACTCATAGTGCAAATAAATGAACATATGTTCAAGTCAAGTTCCTGGTTTATTCCAGAAGAACTATGCATAGTTCTTGAGTTACTGTTCTTAAGCTTAGAATCATAATTGAGTATTATTTTTAATACAGAAAATCTTACCACGCTTTATCTACTAACTACCTGTGCCTCTACCATGANAGCTACTAACCGCTAGAGGCGCTGTACAATTTGCCATACATTTTTTTACGCCCTCGATAGCGAGGTGCTCGGTAGGTAAACTCATGGTAGAGGCACTGTAGATTAATTTAATCATGAATAATCTGCTATTTTTGTAATCATTGGGAAATGATTTTGGAGAAGTTATGTTTCTTTTTTAACCGACTTCAAAAAAGGAGGAGGTTATTATGTTCGACTGTATGTATTTTTTTTTTCTATGTATGTTCACCGATTACTCCGTCAATTGTGGACCGATTTTCAAAATTCTTTTTTTGTTCGATAGGGTACACTTCTGAGGTGGTCCCATTGTCACCAAGTCCGGATCTGATGATGGGATCCTAGGAAAATCGAGAGCAACCCTCAAATTTTATAGGCACGTATATCGTTTTTCAAACTTTTTCTTAAGTTATTCAAGTATTTGCTCCTGGAAATCATCATCTCATATTGATGAGCTGATGATAGAAGGTAAAACTCCTTAATGCTTAGGAGTTGGACGATAATTCTTTAAATATTATAAGTACAAAAAGACCAACAGTTGTATTATTTCATGTTTTTAAGGTGGGCTGACTGTTTAGGTCTTTTTAGGTTTCCTATGTGGTAACCTGTTTTTTGTCGGGAATATTATTTTACACTAGACATGAAGAATATGGTCTCAATGTACTGCAAACCTTCAGTGGTGGTAACATCAAGGTAATAATTAGTTAACTAAAAAGCAAGAAATAAGTAAATTTTAATAAAAAAAAATAAAACCGACTCCAAAAAACCTACACTAAAAAGTAGAAAAATAATTACTAATTATTTATTAGGACGAATTAATCTTTATGTAGGTATACCATGATTGATACTTTTGGAGTCGGTGCAGGCAAACTTTACATGTTTCATAATCTTGGCACCGACTCCAGAAGTATCAATCATGGTATACCTACATAAAGATTAATTCGTCCTGATAAATAATTAGTAATTATTTTTCTACTTTTTGTGTAGGTTTTTTGGAGTCGGTTTTATTGTTTTTTATAAAATTTTATTATTTCTGTTTTTCTGCCCTATTAAAACGATTTCTTTTTAAAGATCAAAATACATCACTAAAAGCTTAAAAGTGTGTCAAATGATTGGTAGAGTCAACACACTCGTAGTTATTAACAACACGTGGAATTTATTAACATCGTCGTTGTCTCACAACTCGTGGCCCTTAATGACTGCAGCTCCTTTGTCACGGGGCAATGACCTCTTATCTCGAACTATGTCTAAACACTTCCTTTGGCTTAGTAAATCTTAGCTTAAACAAGAGGCACCCTCATAATCATGTGAGAAATATACTGACCTAGTGACTATTATTTTATCATAGAGTAGATACGTATTTTAATCAAATCTTAGGCTGGATTGCCACATCTTACTTTAACTTTAACAAACGTCAAAAATCTGTCAAACTCCATACAAAAAGCACCGGTTATCATCATAGGCTACCGTTAAATTTAGGTAGCGCAACTCAGCCTTATAATATCAACCTATACTAATTAATTTTCTAAAATTTTATAGAAATTTAAGACCTCTTAAAAGAAACTTCATTCTACTTCACATAGTTATGACTAGAAAACATAGCATCAATATTCTTATTTGATCAATTCGTCGCGTCGTCTTTACTAAACCGGTCCCGTCAGTAATAACGTCAGGAGAAGAACTTTTACACTATTTCCAGCTTTGCGTAAAACCTGCAACTGCAAGTGCTGCAAGCCTTAATTGGCAACGCTCATACTGACCCGGCGCAACACGATACGGCCCGACTCTCGCGAATTAGGTCTCAGTATCAAATCCCTGCATTTTTACGTTATTTTTCCGTGTGCATTTCTCTTTGATGCTACCTTTCAGTACTACTATACCAGCTGCAAGCAATGTTCCCATCATAAAAATATTTATCAAGCATTTATGCTAATTTTGTTATGCTTAGTAGAAACTAGTTAGTAGACAAAACTAACTGCAAAACATTTGATGACAAATGTAAAGCCACAATATTCTTGTATAATTTCATGTTTAAGCTAGCTATACTTTTACTGCGACCCATTTTATTCCGAGATCAAATTTTTTACGTTATTTCTACTTATCTCATTATTATTTTATTTCTCTAGATGAGATATTGTTGGAGTATTCCATAAACAATTATAGAATTTTGTCTCGCCGTAAGTCTTTCTAGATTTAGTTAAGCTAAAGTAAGTTTCCCTTGATATTTAAAAACCGCTAGAGGTATTTTGTATAATACCTATAGAGATAGAATAGAAAATGGTATTATCTCTTTCATGTGAAAGCCATTTATCAGAAGATTTATTTTTTAAAAGCCTGACCAGGAACATAAAAACCCTGGCATAGAGGCGCGTCAATTGCATTTGATAGTGCAACACTGAGTACAGTCGTACCTGTGTTAAATTAACATGCTAACTTTATGTATCAGGATTCAGAATTACGGGCTAATTTGATATTTTCATAAATTAACGAAAAAATATTATTATTAGGTAAACTGGTTTAAATAAATTAAATGAAACCATCAATCGAGCTCGTAGGATTTATTTTATTATTCATCAATAATCAAATTCAGAACTTGAATATTCAACTGCAATGTTTGCTCATGAACACTTCAAACTCGGCACTTCTTTCCCAATTTCATAAAATTCAACCCTTAGAAAGTGTTTTTTTTAAATAGGTAGTTTAAACTAACCACAGCTAATTTTCATAGTGGACTGTACTATGCGATAAACATGTCAGTCAATTTGACAACCTTTGTCGGAAACATTATTCAATGAAAATATTGTCCGAACCCTTGCATTTCTCTTCGACAAATACTTTAACATATTGTGAACCACTTTTCTTTCACGATTATAAAAATATTTTAGCAATTTAATTCACAAAATCAATTGCGCACATTTAAAATAAAGTTTGTTTACACTTTGACAGTCTAGACTGACATGCAAGATGACATGTCAATGAAGTTTTCAGTTACTGTTGCCATTAAAAGAAATTAGTACCATTAGTTTTCCGCAACATGGCGAGGGTTTTTATGTTCCTGGTCGGGCTATACCTCTTCTAACTAATGTGATTACAAAATTATCTAGCTCACTGTAATAAATAATAACCATAGTAATTAAATATCGTATATTCTAGTATTTAATTTATAGAGTCGTAAGGACATTTTTAAGGCCCGTGTTCGTTCATGTGCATTTAGAGAGTTGTGGTCAAAGTAGTTCCTACAAACAAACTGGTTCATTAGTGGAGAAACAAAACAGGTACGATCTCACATTAAAATAGTTAAGGACGAGCGGAAAAAGCTGCCTGCAGTCGACAAAAAATATGTGGTTTTTCTAACCTCAACAGGTCGAAAAAAGTTTACAAAAAATTGTGGAAGAGCGCAGTTAACACCTCTCTGCGACGAACCGAAAATTCCGAGCAAACAAACTAGGGCTGCCACATACATACACACACACCTGTCTTTCATAAATACTACTGTAAAAATGTTCCCTTTAAAACCAACGCAATTGAAACTGAAATATTTGGTCCAACTAGAAAACAATAGAAACCATTAAAAGTCACTTTAAAAAGAAACTAACCGCCGCTCGCCAAATAGTCCAGTCAATGAATGCCTTAACGACGGTGTAGAGAGAAATCCGTGGAACACAATTTCTGACCTCGGGACTTTATTTGGACTAGTTAGGAGGAGAACATAGTAAAAGTCCCCGCCCTTAGTCTTTGAGCCGGCGGGGAGAGGGGGGTTTAAAGGTACCACTTTTCGGTTTTTCGCTTAATACTCGGAAACTATGCATCCTAGTGACATGACTACTATGAACCAAAAAAAGCTTATTCNGGGGGTACAGAATATTGGACAACCTCAAGAAGCTTGATTGCTTAATGATTTCAACTTTACTGAACTTCATGATTCATTGAAAATTTGTACTTACTCTATTATCTATTTTTTTTAATAGATTAAAAAATAGTGGGCATGTCCGAACATAGGTAATCTTGTTTTACTGTTCGATAATGTTTGGCGATAATGCCTGTTCTATTGTAAAATCATAGTTTAGTTTAATAGTTTTGTTTTCAAACATCATTCATGTTTATGTACTTAAATACATACATAATACCTACCTAATATTAAAGTAATGCTTTCAATGTGACATAAACATAAACATAAACATAAACATAAGTGACATAAAAAAAACTTTCTAAAATTCCATCAACTTTACTTCAGTCATCGAAAGCTTGAAAGTGCTTTCAAATAAAAATACTTATTGCTCAAATCCATTCCCTTTGGGCCTTATAGTTTTTTTATGGTTTTATCAAAAACGACAGGCTGTGACATGTTAAGCTTAAAAATAAGTAACGAAAACATTAAATATTTTTTCACACGTCACACGCATTTATGAAATCAAATTGAAATTACATTCCGTTGCAAAACACACCTACGCTTTTGAATGGCTCTCCTATTTGCATTTTAATTGTGTAAGCATTCTTAGACAAACAAACACACATTCGTAATAAAGAGAAAATATTCAATGCCCCGACGTTAAAAGGAAAAGGATGTTTCGCGTTTACATTTCGCAGAACTAAACTTCATGCAAAGGCACGTATTCATTCTTCGTTTGTTTACAGACGAGTAAATCGAGACATAGCTACATACTTTAATTGCATCGCTACCCGACTGCGTCGTGAGAGTTGTTGAACTTCACTTTATAAACAACGAGACAAGAGTAGCCACCTGTGAACCTGATCGGTGTGGGGACGTGTTCACGCTGTTCACAGTCACACACATGGTGATTGTGTCCCTGTGTGAGCGCGACTCGATACCTGCCGGCCTGCGAGTCATCGGACCATATCGGCCGTGCATTGTTATTCCCCTTGCCATGGCCCTCCGCTACATTATTATACACCTGATCTCACGCCACAGGTCAACAGCGAAAACTCACAAACACTCAATCAAATCAAAGATTAAACTACGCGCAAATATTTGGATATTCAACTAAGAAGTTATCTGTTGCTCACTAAAACCACTAAAACATTAAATATTCGATTTCAAGGTTTGCATTCAAGCATTACTTGAAGTGTACCAACGTCTATTATAAAATTGACCTGAAGGTTTGAAAACGATAGTGCAGGGTGAAATTGTATCGCTCAATCCAATCTTAGACATTTTGAGTGTATTAAACATTGATCGACCAAGCAATCTAAATGGCCGCGTGTAATGCAATAATTAAATACGAGTAGGTATATAGAGGCTACAGTAACATTAATCATCAGTATTACGTGTAGATTTTCCTATGTTAGGTATTTGTTAAAGTAGGTATAATGTTTTGCACGAACCATAAATTATTATAATTTACTTCAATCCTACACGAAATAAATTCTTAATTGGACGGTAAAGATAAATTAAATATTAATATTCCACGAATCCACGATGTTTTTACCCTCAGTCTTTTGTATTTGGCAAAAGTAATTTAGAATTAAGGTATGATACGACTAGCAATCTTCAACGTAAAGATTGGGACGGTAGATTTTTCCGAACGCCTTATACCTTCTACTTTTAAAAGGTATAATAAACCATCTAACTAGTTTAAAGAATTCAAATAAAAATATTGGCAGAATGAAGATAGGTACTTAATTTTTATCTAGGTGTTTTAAGAATTTTGCGTTTTAATGGAATCCTTCAGTAGGTACCTAAAACATAATAATGTACCAACCCCTCATGTATACTAGTAATAATGTAGGAGAAATAGATAAACACTGTAATAGACTGCAGAAGATTATTTTCTTTTCTAATAAGAAACTCATTAAATCCCAACTAATATTATAAATGCGAAAGTAACTCTGTCTGTCTGTCTGTCTGTCTGTTACGCTTTCCCGCTTAAACCTCGCAACCGATTTTGATGAAATTTGGCAAAGAGATAGTTTGAGTCCCGGGAAAGAACATAGGATAGTTTTTATCCCGGTTTTTGAAACAGGGACGCGCGCGATAAAGTTTTTCTGTGACAGACAAAATTCCACGCGGGCGAAGCCGCGGGCGGAAAGCTAGTAAATTTCATAAAATTCGATTTCTATGAAAATTAAAATAATTAAAATCAAAATATCAATTTTCTGACTTCACCATCCCAACTTAATATTATAAATGCGAAAGTAACTCTGTCTGTCTGTCTGTCTGTCTGTTACGCTTTCCCGCTTAAACCTCGCAACCGATTTTGATGAAATTTGGCAAAGAGATAGTTTGAGTCCCGGGAAAGAACATAGGATAGTTTTTATCCCGGTTTTTGAAACAGGGACTCGCGCGATAAAGTTTTTCTGTGACAGACAAAATTCCACGCGGGCGAAGCCGCGGGCGGAAAGCTAGTCTTATATACTTTTATGAATATAAAATTCCTTACCTACAAGCGACGGTACCTGACGCTAATTAGGTACGATTCAGCTCTTTTTCATCTAAACTTGCCGTGGTCGAGGCATTATTTTTACCGTTACTAACTGCGCCTGCGTTTGACATGACATAATTATTCCTATTGTAAGACCTAGAGTTCTTGTTGGATGCTTTGGGAATGGAAAACAGATCCTTGTTATCTTTAAGAAAAGTATTTTTCAGTAGTCTGCGTTTTCATAATTGTCCTTGTGAATTTGTAGATTATTTTGTATAGATGAAAGGCTTATGTAAGAAGAACGTATTTACATTAGTTAAATGTAAATACTTTTATTCGGAACTTATTATGTAATTACCTACTCGTTAAATATTTTTTAGGTATTGGTAAGTTAAGTGTAGGTATTGTCGATGATACTCAATAAACATTTCTTCTTTCTTTCTTTCTTTCTTAAAATTATTGTCCCGATGATCAAAATGTCTACGAGCATTACATCAGGGTTCTATTTACGAATGAAGTGATCAGTAAGCAGGTTACATAACTACGAGTAATAATGCTCAGAAAGTACGAGTAAAAAACAAAGCACTTTAATAAATCTTCGCAAGTCTCAACAGATATTATTATATTGAGTAGGTACTCATACTTAGAATCACTTAAAGTTCAAAGCAATATTTTCAAAGGCAGATTGACGTTTTAAAATAATATTTTCATTCCCTCGGAAGGAGATGGCTCAGTTTATTGACATAGGATTTATTTTTTACAGATTCGCCCGCGTTCCCGAATGTCTCTCCTCATTAGGAAGAAGCTGTTTCGGTACAAACTAGTGCCGTCAGATGTCCTGCTTTTAGCAGGAGGTCCCGTAATAAGCTTTCAGGATTTTGCATCACAAAAACCAGGCTGTTTAGCGTACAGTACAGCTTTTTCGCACATTTAATACTTTAATTTAAATGTAATAAATATTTACTAACCTATCTACTATGGAACCTAGGTATTAAAAGGTTCGATTGGTCTCAGTGTCAGTTCGATTAGTCTCTCTTCGATTGGTCAACCGCCTCTGGGGTCTAGTGGTAAGACCACGTGCTTCAGACGCAGAGGTCCCGCGTTCGATTCCCAGTTGGGGCAGAATTTTCTGTTCGGTTTGATTGGTGGTAGGGATTGTTCTAAGTCCACCTGGCTAGCTTCCACCATCATACCTAAGTCTGTCGCCATAACAACAATGTTAACAGCATTGTTGTGTTCCGGCAGTTAGAGGTAAGATAGCCAATTTCTTCGCGGTTGAGGATTCCGGGTGAAGCTCGCTTCCACCCGGCCTGTGGATCTAGACAAAGTGCAAATTATAATCGCAAACCAGTCGATAAGTGGTCGAAAAGCCCCTTTTTTGTATGGAGTTTTGACGGATTCGATTTTCGATTCGATCAAAAAGTGCGTTTTGTCTAGGGGGGCTGATCATCACTTACCATCAGGTGAGATACAGGCCAAGAGCTTTCTGGTTGTGGATAAAAAAATGATTTTTAAGTTTGCAATTTTAATCAGAGTTTGCTATCGTTTGTTTGCGCATTATTCCACGTCCCGAGTTTTCGATTTTTATGTTTGTCCCGGCTTTTAAACAGATTTGGCAACACTACTGCCCACGGAAGTTAGTATTGATATTTTCTCGGAAAATAAGCCCGTGACTTTTCATAGAACACTGTAGTGAACCGCTAACAAAAGTACTTTTTATTTCTTTTCTATATTTCCAAGGATTGCATACATCTTTACACCATTTAATTAACGTGGCTTCTCTGTCGTTTACTAACTTATTCACCAGAATTCTTCTTGTACGGGGAGGATTTATTATAGCTAAGCTAAACGAGCTGTTATACAAAAACTAGCGAGCGCCCGCGACTTCGTACGCGTGGACCTCGTTTTACCCCCTTAGGAGTGGAGTTTCGTAAAATCCGTTCTTAGTGGATGTCCACCCTACGCCTTAGAACCTACCTGCCAAATTTCAAGTTTGTAGGTGTTATTTCCAAGATTTTGTGATTAATCAGTAAGGCCTGATTCGACCAAACTTTTATCCGAGAAAAACTCCTGGTATAACTGACACATTGACAGTTTCAGTATGGGAAATATTATGTCAGATGACGTTTTATTCTGAGATTAATATTTACTCTTGTTTGGTCGAATCCACCCTAAGTGGTATTTCGCTTTTATAGTACATGTAAAGATTAATTTATTATTACGTGTGAGAAAAAAGATATTAAGGTTATTTACCACATATTATACACGTAATACATAAGAGTTACTTGACGTTGTAACAAAATCTTGCAAATTCAACTTGAAACTTTGTAAGAATATAACCTGGGTGAGGCCTGTGTGCAGCCTTTCCATAAGTGAGAGAGAGAATCTGATATGTTGAAAGAGTGCAAAGATACCGTAGGCGGTTTGCGGTCACGAAACTGGTTGCCCAGGAAGCCATTTAAAATACTACAATAGTCTCTACGCACTTGAGAATAGAGTTTATAACGTCTTACACGTGTCTCGAATACTATTATTATCTTGTACATATTAGTCATCGTCATTGACTTCGAGGATTTCTACGATATGGAAACTCATCAGTAAATTACGTCTTATTAATTGACTAAGAAAAACCTGACCTTAATCGATCATCATCATAATACTAATAAAGAACATAAATGAAGATTTCTATTTCGCCCAGTAGACTACTTTTACCCTACCATTGACATCGAGTCAATAAATGGGCCCCAGTGCTGAGAAGAAGCACCACAAGTCAGTCACCCATTGGCAGCCATCTTGATGCCCAATCCAGTGTCAGTCAGTCTGCGTCGAAACAATATATTTACCATTTGACCAGACGGTTTGCGAGGTTCACTTATTCTCCCCTAGTCGTCTCTCACGATTACGACATCGGGGACAGGGGGCATACCTTGGCACTCCTTGATGCACAAGCCAGTGTCAGTCAGCGTTATGGTGGGTCTTGTTGCAGACGACAGAGCACGGGGCGCATCTGTTGGTGTCTGGCGAGCAGTGTGCCTACCATGAGTTTACGTTAGGTGTGCTCGCTAGCGACTGCGTAAAAAAATGACATTTAAATGTATGACATATTGTGCAGCGCCCCTAGCGGCTACTTTCAAGAAATAAAATCTTCATAGAATTTTTTGACGTATTCGCTAGCGAGCTCACCTAACGTAAACTCATGGTAGGCACACAATACTCGTCGAGCTGACACGTCAGCTGCCCGCAGCGGACGATGTGAAGCGTGAGCTACGCAGCACAGGAACAGTGGGGTACATACCTTGGCACTCCTTGATGCACAAGCCAGTGTCAGCGTTATGGTGGGTCTTGTTGCAGACGACAGTGCACGGGGCGCATCTGTTGGTGTCTGGCGAGCAGTACTCGTCGAGCTGACACGTCAGCTGCCCGCAGCGGACGCCGTCAAGCGTGAGCTGCGCTGACGCAGCGCCCGCTACCGCCAGCAAGCACGCTATGTGAGACATGGTGGTCCTAAAAGAAAAATAATGTTTTTAGTCGAATCCACACTGTGGTCTGGTCTACCTGTAGGCTTTTACGCTTGAACCACAACTGAGCCAATTTTTGTTCATCTGCTAGCTGTGCCCGCGACTTCATACGCGTGAAAAACCCTTATTAGCTTGAAAAATAGTTGACATCCTATTCTCAAACCTACAGAATATACAAAAAAAACATAAGAATCGGTCAAGCCATTTAGGAGGAGTTTTGTTAATAAGTGCAAGCTATGTTTTATGTGTATTTAATTAACAAATAATTTTAATTTTGAAGGAAGACTAGGCTAGTTACGAGTATTAACGTGAACCGAAAACATGGCATTGCTACCAATAATTTCCTTGTTGTGTTTTTAATAAACCAAGGATGCACGCGCAATAGACTTTCTCGCGAGCGAAAGCTAGTTGGTAAATCGACATCTATAGATTGTCGACAAACATATCGTTAACACAAAAACGAATCATGTAACTGTCTATCCATCTTAAGCTGTTCCTCAACCTAGACAACCTAACATAGGTACAATACTTACATTATGGACTTTGATTTGATACGAGTAGAGTCGACTTCATCGACAGTTCTTTGCGTAACTTGGGTATAATTTATGATGCGAATAGATGACAAATTTTGGACTTTTTAAAATCAATTAGCAAACTTCATATCTAATTTTGTAAGCGGAATCGCTGATACATTGTAAACATTTAAACACTTGCAACCATTAGGTATTACCACACGATAATTATTGTCCTCCATTAGCTGCGACAATTAATAACGATTTATTTGAAATACAGGTTTGGTCCTCAAGCAGGTACCTGTTCTATACAAAAACTCGTTAATAAACAACAGCTAGACCTTTTCGCCCAAAAACTATGAATATTTACACTCATGCCGCAACGGTTGTGGCGCTGGTGACTCATCGCATAGAGACAGGTAACCAGATGTATTTACTAATGAAACGTCACAAACATGAATGGAAGTCGATAATTCCAAGAACATTTTACGCCTCTTTTGTTATTACTAACAATTCAACAGCTACATTGCCGTAAATGCATACCATTGAAAAGAAAATACAATGTCAAGAGGCTCCGGCGCCATCCTTTTATGTTTGAATGCAAGTTGAATGTGATTTTTTTACAGTTATGTCATTGTATTAACTACATTATTCAACTATAAAAGCAACTTGTATAGTCATTTGTTGATCACTTTAGAAGCTTTTTAGTGGGTATTTTAAATTTCTATTAAAGTCAAGTAGGTATGAATCCAACACTCAAAAACAGACTTAATAATGTAAATATTTACTTAGTGCAAACAATCACGAACTCAAATCTATTATTGATATTGGATCGAGTTTAGACCGTCGTCTCATACCTAATACGGGTTACCGCCAAGCTTAAAAAGGCACTACCATGGTGATTTCTAATAAGCCTTTTTAGGGTTCCGTAGCCAAAATGGCAAAAACGGAACCCTTATAGTTTCGTCATGTCCGTCTGTCCGTCTGTCCGTCTGTCCGTCTGTCCGTCTGTCCGTCTGTCCGTCTGTCCGTCTGTCACAGCCGATTTACTCGGAAACTATAAGTACTACAGTGATGAAATTTGATGGGAATANGGCAAAATATCGGGAGAGTTTAGGCTCCATTCACCAGGTGTATAAATTGACATAATAAGTTTATTATATTTGCTGCTACGGAACCCTTTGTGCGCGAGCCCGACTCGCACTTGGCCGGTTTTTATATTTAAAAAAAATATTAATATTGATAAGTAAATATTTATTGTGATGACCATGGAATCAAATGACACTGAACACTGAGGCAAGCGGACGTTAAAAGCCGCCATACTTTCTCTGCATAGTAAATAGGATGACTCATAACTACGTAACGAGTATTCAACACAATATTAACAGCTGGGTTTAAGACACAAATATTTGCAAATTAAGTAGTGTAATTAGATAGGTCACTTCATATTTTATTTACTTTTTTACCTGTAACTTTTCACAGAAAGTTTTTTTTTTATTTCTCTCATCTCAAAATCACTGCAATACTGGTAAACGAAGCGATTTAAAATCAAATTATTTTTGGAGCGACAAGACCCTTCAAACTAATGGAATGCATAGAACAAAACTATAATCCAGTGTCCACTTTTAAATGATTGCGATGCGGCGTAGAGGAGCATCAATCACTTTGCTCTACGAGCATGAATCGATCCAGATAAATTAGATTATGTAAGTCGACGTTAAGGTACCGAATAAAATATTAAAAAAATACTCTGTACACACAATATGCAAGTTATAAAGAAAAAGAAAATGACTCACTCACTCAAAATTATAGGTAGGTACGTCAAGGAAGCGATGTACGTATTTTTCCTAAGAAATAAACATTAAAACAGAAGAAAAATATATGTAATTAGGTATATGAGAAGGGAAGACGGATGAATTTATCGGAAACTTTCATTTCAATATTGATAATTCTTAATTTCGCCACTACCTATCTCTAACTTCTTGTAAAGAGCCATCCAAAAGTACGTCTATCAAGCTCGACTTTCCACAGAATTTTGATAGAACACCCGTGATTCACGGGTATTACTTATTCACGGGCCGTGAATAATACCTTCAGATACTTTGCAGGTATTCCTCCAAACAGAAAATTGGAGGCCGAAACTATCATACCTTTGAAACTTTCCACTTTAAAGGGATCTTTTAATATTCACGGAGGCTAATTTAGCTGGATGCAGCTGTAACAAATTCATTAACTGGCACGGACCTAGTTTCTCTGGGCGCTTGGAATGAGTGAGATATTCGGGAAAGAAATGAGCTCGATTAAAATATTAATTAATGATGTACATTCGTTTAAACATGCTTTGAAGCAACCGCTCGGTTGTAATACTTTGAAATGTACAGAATGAAAACATATTTCCGGTTTCTCGTGCTAGGGAAATGGACACAAGTGAAAATCATATTGGCTTACCTGGAAATGAAGGCTATGCAAAGCTGAATGGGACGTACAGTCACATGACGGTCAATTTAGAATACACAGATTTTCAGGGCGGAAATTTTGATTGAAATGCTGTGAATGCACGCATTGCAAGCGAAGCACACAACACTACAGGCTACAGGATGAGGTGTTTTGATGGCTTCCACGATGGTAGCCTAGCAACCGCTACACCAACCAGTGATTCACAGTCTAACGCCGCGTTACGAGTACTATTGAAATGTTTGGCTTTCGTGACGAAGAAAATTTTATTGTTGATTACGTAATTTTAATAGTTATTGTTATTTACTTTATGATCGGATTACTAGTAAAAACAAGTTAAGATTAGGTCATAGATGAGAATGTCAATTAGATTTATTACATCCGCAGAGAGAGAGAGAGTAAAATTACTATTATACCTACTACTACTACTACTATTATACTACTATGAAGTAGGTAGCTACTTCATGGTAATTAAACAACTTATTTTATTTGGCCACATCAAACCTCGTGCAATAAGTAAGGGTTGTATTGACACAGGCCTTGTATTATAATAAGCCATCCGTGTCAATAAATGGCAAGGAAACAAAACATCTTTATTATTTTTTGTTTACTTCAAATTAAGTTAACTTGTTTACGGAGGTACATAAGTACCAATCTCCAAGTTAATAGATATAAAATACCATAAGTTTCAATAGTTGATATCGATGTTTTAAGCACAAGGAAAATGCCTTGAGAAAACAAAGTTTATCTGCACCGAATGTAAAGTTGATTGCAGCTTATTGATGATACTACGTACTACTACAAAATAATAATAAGTAGGTACGTACTACTGCTATATTACAACAAAAGGATTCTGCTGTAATTTAAAAAAAGATAATAATTAGGTACCTAAAATACTGGAGTGTTAAATATTACATGTTCTTAAATTATCTAAACTAATGAAAGAAGCGGGGCCTCCTGCCACAGATAATATACATCCATCCCAGCCTCAGATTATTGTAAGTAACATATACCTGCTTGTTGGTGAAATATTTTTTTTTATTGATATTTATGAAGGTACTACCTAAGTAGATTAATTACGTAGTTAATAAATTAGGAACTTATTTCGTTCCGTATCCTAAATGCGTAAAAGCAGTTGTAATTTGTATGAAATATTTAATAATATACGTCATACAAAAGGCGTGCAATGATCTAACTGCTCGATCACCTTGAACATGAGGCGCGCGCAACGTCCTATCAAATATTTTCCGATTGTCCGTCTTCAGTTAAGACACGTACTTAAATAGATTCACGATCCGAAGGTATTTATGTGCAAGTAAAACGAAATCTCCACCCTCTTCCAATCCTCGATAAAGCAGACACAAAAGAAAGGTACTTGACGTTGTCTCAAGCCGTGGCGGATCGTATGAACTCGATTGTATATTGACTCCTGAAGCACATCATAAGTGTTTAGGAAACAACCAAAAAGAATAACAATCACGCATTGTCTTATGTTACTTGGTATGCACGACAGAATGCCATGACTCGCTGCGCTAAGGTCCTTGTATGTCGCAATGTTACAACGTACAAGTAATTTCAACTTAATGTACTGACGATAAGTGTTATTTTGTAAGTGGCGTTTCAATTAATTGCAACGCTTTTACCGGTGTCTAATTGGGAAACTAGGATGAGACGTATGTAGCCTTCGCCTGTAATCTCAAAATTAGTACTTCTGTAATGTATCATTTCAGATTCGACGGTTACAAGTAGCACACTGTAATGCTCGGTTCAGCTTTATCACTGATGTAATGCTCGACTCTGTAACATCATTATGGTGTTTGCATTACATGCAAATGCTCCAGGTGAAGGGAGCACCTTACGCGCAAGAAAGCGTTTAGAAAAAGTACAGGGATTCGTGAAGGATTTTTAAAATATCGGAAGCGTTTCAAAATCGAATTCCCCGAAAATAGGTACTTGTTGTTTGTTATTATTCTGATTTGTAGATATGTATTTAAAATGCACACTATCATTTGTTAATAAA